AAATCACATAGTGCATTATAAGTACATTATAAACAATCGCAAGAAAGAAAAAATCACTTGTGGCCCTGTCTTGGGGCTCATTTCGCTTGACATCATCTTATATAGTCATATGTACGTACGTGTTTAAAATAATAAATTTCTCCATAACTGTAACTAAACCTAGATTAAAAGTGAACATAAAAATTGAACTTTCTGTAGAATACAAAACAAAGGAAAAACAAAGATGGTTTATTTTTGGAAATACCATGCCAAAGGACTAGAGAAGTGGATAAATTGTCTTACGGTAAAATACAGAAAGGTAATTTTTCGCTTCTCCAATTTTTTCTTCCTTCCCTCCTTCCTGTCTTCCTTGCTTCTCTTTCCTTTTCCCCTCCCTCCCTCCTTTCCTTCCTTCCTTCTCTTTCTTCTCCCGCCCTCTCTTTCTCTGTCTCTCTGTCTGTCTTTGTGCGAATATTAGCTGTTGAACTCAGAACTTGAAGCTCTTATTTGTTTGTTTGTTTGTTTTTTTGCTCGAAGGCTGATGCTCTACCATGCAAGCCATACCTCCTTTTCTCTAATTTGTTATTCTTAAAGCAAGGAGTGTATGCATATGTGTATGTACCTATATGGATTGGTTTGGGAAATTATTTTCAAGTTCACTGAATGATTAAATTATTATTTTAAACATTATCTCATAAAAACATATGAAAACTAAAACTACTAGGTCAATAGTTTATGATCAAGTAACACAATTTTGATTTACAGACACATTGTTTATTGTATAAAGATGACATTCATTTTGGTGAATTTTTTTTTTGGGGGGTCCGGTTGTGGGGCCTGAACTCTGGGCCTGGGCGCTGTTCCTCAGCTCTTCAGCTCAAGACTAGCGCTCTACCCCTTGAGCCACAGCGCCACTTCCAGCTTTTTTTCTTTTTGCTTATGTAGTGCTGAGGAATCAAACCCAGGGCGTCAGGCATGCAAGGCAAGCACTCTACCACTGAGCCACCTTCCCAGCCCCATTTTGGTGAAATTTAAAAATATTCTATAACCTTTCATTGATACATGATAATTATACTTTTTATATTTATGAGTTAGTGTAATGTTTTTATATATGTTTATAATGATCAAATTAGTGTCATTTTGCTTCAAATATTCATTACTTTCTAGTGAAAACATTCAAATTCTGTATTTGAAAGTATGTGATATATTAAAAAAATTGGTTAAGTAGTTGTACAAAGAAGTTTATGAATACAACTATTGTTACTAGCATTCTGCCAACACTAGAAAGTATTCCTTTGAACTATTTATTTGTGTGGGTTAACCAGTATTTCCTTTCTCCATCTTCTCCATATACTTTTGGCCTGTGATAACCACGCTTCTTTCTACTTCTAAGATCAACTTTAAAAAAATTCGATTTTGAGTTCATCCATAATTTGAAAATGTGAAATCTAAAGCTGTCCAAAATCCAGTGTTTTGAGTGCCACAGTATACCAAAGTGAAAAGTACTATATTAAACTTCTGTGATAAGTTGAAGTAAAAATATAGTCACACTAAAAGTTTTACATAAAATTAAGTTCAGAACCAAGAAGTGGAAATATTTTATGGTGGAAACAGGAATGGAGGGAGGAAGGTTAACCAAATGCAGTTGGTTTATTCAATGTGCACTATGTAACTGTGGGTAGGGATGAGAAGAGGAAAGTGGGGGAGAATGAAAGAAGGGTGACATTGACCAAGAAGCATTATACTCATAACTTGATTTATGGATTTGTAACCCCTTGGTACAACTACTTAATAATAACAATAATAATGCAAAAAATAAGTTCAGAATGCATGTATGTGTGTACACACATCTATATATGTCTATGTATTTATGTATGTGTGTATATATATAAAATAAGTTTTGTATTTAAAGTGTCATCTCAAAAATAATTAAGGTATATGCAGATATTCCACTTCCCCTCAAAAGTCCAAAACGTTCTTACTCCACATATTTCAAAGATTATTCCTTTTTATTTACACTGTGACTAGTTTATTTCATTTAGCATAATATCATCTAGGCTCATCCATGTTGCCTTAAATGACAAGATTTCATTTTATTTTGTGATTGTCTAGTATTCTAGTATATAAATACACCATATTTTCTTCATCTGTTCATCCACTGATGGACATTTAGGTTGATCATGTATTCTTGCTTTTGGAAATATATTTTCATTAAACATAAGAGTATAGATATCTCAACATAATAATTTCATTTTTCCTTTTTAAGTTTTTATAAGGATTTATTTAAATATAACAGGGTAAAAGTTGGAAAAAATAAGAAAAGAATGAAGGAAAATTTCTTGTTCTTCATGCAGAAAATGGGAGTAAAGACTCCCTAATTTCATTTTTTTGGGGTATAGTACAGGCATGTGCTAGCTTCTTAATTTTTAGCAGTGTTGAGCAATATGTATGACAGTGATTCCATAAGATCGCATTTCCTAGTAAGATTGTACCTATCTTAGTTTGAGTAAGTATATTCTATAATGTTCACACAATAAAAATGCTTAAGGACACATTTCTCAGAACATCTTGTCAGTAAGCAAGGCATTAATATGTACCCAGTCGTGACATTATTGTTTTTGTGGTAGTAGTTCTATTTTTAGTTTTTGTGAAATCTCCTTGCTCTTCTTCCTAAAATCTAACTGAAATGTTTGTTATACTTTTTTCTTTTTTTTCAAGTTTTTTAAAAAAATTTATTTTATTGTAAAGGTGCTGTACAGAGGGGTTTTATGTCTTTTTTAAAAGTTTTTTTTATTGTGAAAATACTGTACAGTTACATGAGCAAGGTAATGAGTACATTTCTTTTCAAGGATTGTTGCCTCTTTTGTTTTTCCCCTACCATCCCTTCCCTTCCACCTCCACAACTACACTCCCCCTCTGCGCCGCCCCCCTCCCCCCAAATTGTAAAGTGAAGTAAGCCAGGCCCAAAGAAACATAGGTCCCATGGTTTCCTTATTTGCAATAATTAGTATATGTCTGGGACAAGTAGAAAAGGTCAAAAGCTATATACATATGACCAGATAATACGAAGTTAAACGAAGTGAACCTCAAGATAAGGACACAAGTGTTTTTTTCTTTTTGCTATTGTTTCTAACATATTTATAAGGTACCATATGATATTTTTTGTTGTTTTGTATGTCCCTCCCCCACGGTACAACCCCTGATTTCACTGTATTTGATGTTGGTATAATTTGGGGAGGGGAAGGGAAAAAACAAAATGTTTAAATAGGGATACAGGTTGACCCATTGTAACAGTGAGATGTACAAGACACTATGTTGAAAAAATGAACTTTACAACTTTCTTTATTTTTGTTTTGGCAGAAAATATTCACAGCATTGCACTCTAACCAACTGAGCAAGCTGGCTACAAATCATCATGCATTTATTAGTCATTTGTCAGACATAATCTCTTGTTATCTTGGCAAAGGAAACAGTACATTAAACACAAATCCTCGGTCTTCTTCCTGTCCCAGTTCCTAGCAACCACTAGACTCCGTTTTGTCTCTATTAATTTGACTTCTCTGGGTACTCCATATAAGTGGATCATACAGCATTTATAGTTTTGAAACTAGCTAATTTAATTTAGATTGATGTCTTTAAGATTCATCCATGTTTCAGTATGTGTCAGAATTTTTTTCCTTTTTAAGGCTGAAAAATACCCCCATTGTATGTATATACTGCATTTTGTTTGTTCATCTGTTCACACAGCTTGTTCACACAGGCTGCTTCTGGCCTTTTATCTGTTGTGAATAATGCTGTTATGAGTATGGATGTACAGATATTTCTTTGAGACCCTACTTCCAGCACTTTTGAGTCTGTACCCAGAAGGTAAATTGCTGTACAATATGCTCATTCTATTCTTAATGTTTTGAAGACTAACTATACATTAGACATTCTATTTTATCACCAACATAATACTGAGGTCACACTTTCTCCACATTTGCACCTATTTTATTTGTTTATTTTTTATTGTCAAGGCTATACTGAAATTTTTTGGAAAAAATAAGTTTCATTATACATTCTGGGTTTAGTATGAGTTGTGCATTTATCTTCTACATCTTTCATAGTAAGAAAGACATTCTTTTGCTAAATCATGTTCAGAGGAATAATTGTCAAGAAATGGAAAGTAGAATTAGGTTTTTTATACTGTATTTGTAATTGATTTTCTAGAAAGCAGTGTTAAATAACAAAGATAACTGCTCTGTTTTTCCTCTTTTTTTTTTACAATAAGCATATATTAATTGCACTGAAAGATTTCATTGTAATATTTTCATGTAACTGTTCAGCTCTTAATTTATCAGCCCTAATTGGCTGAATGTTTTAAATATTTGTAATATTTTTTCCTGAGTTATTTAGTAGCATGTTATTGACAGTTTCATGTCAATAAAATGAGAACAAAGACATTAGTGTAATAAAGATGTATGTCTAAAGTATTAAATGGTAAAATATATCTCTAGAAATTTTAGGGGAAAGTTTTTAAATTACAGTTTTATTCAGTAATATTGATTGTAATGATTATTTCTATATAACAATTTATTACAAATATAGTAGATTAAAATGAAGATGCATTTATTATCTCACAGTTTCTATTGGCCAGGAATCTGAGCATGACTCAACTAGGTTCTCTGCTTAACATAAACCTGTAATCAAGGGTTTGGCTCTTCTGCATTCTTATCTTGAGGTTTGACTTGGGAAGAATCTATTTCTAAACACCCGCAGATTCTTGGCATAATTCCTTTCCTTATGGTTGTAGTATGGAAGATGCTGACTTCTTGTGTAGTGTTGACTGGTGATTTTTTTCCCTCAGTTCCTAGCTACCTGTAACTCCTAGAGAATGACCATTATCCCTTGATATGTGAGCTTCCTCAACATGACTACTTACTTAAGTCATGCCATTAGAGTCTTTACAGTCCTTTATGACAATGTGATCATGTAAGTGAAATCCCATCACCTCTGCTATTTTCTTTTTGTTTGTAATACAGCCACAGGTTATGTTCACAGTGAAGAGGACAGAAATTATACAAAGGCATGAACACGAAGAGGTGAGGATTGTGGGGGGGGGCCATCTTAAAGTGTGACTGCTTTATTGATCAACTGTGCAAAAATCGTTTCTGTTATTGGCTTAATGCAGTAGAGATACATAGACTACTCTGGGTAGATGTCGACCCACATCAAATTTTAGATAAGTTTTTTTCTAATTATTTAAATGAAGTTAAAATTTTGAAGAAGTATTCTTTATAAAAGTTACAAGTTGCTAACATACACTAGAAGCTGATTTGACAAAATTTTTTCTTTAGAATGTTGAGTTCTTAAACATTTTTAATACTAGGTACTATAAAAATGCAATGATATTGTTTACCAGGTACATTTTGATGATCCTGGAGACTACTTTTAAGTTTATAATACTATCAAATGTGTTGTGGAAACTTTTTTTACATATGTCGTGATAATCAAGTTGTTAATTTACATCACCTATATTTATTCCTTCTTTCTGATTAGTTCTCTCTTAATTGTGTATCTATCTACTGTTTTGCTGTAATTTTCAATACCATGGTACTAGTTCTGTTATTCCCCAGCACAACACTGAGAAATAAGTGTACTGTATATGTGACTCATTCAAATTCATTTTATTTCTAGTTCCTTCAGACTCACAGCTTCATGATAAATTAGTCATAAGATAGTATTAATAGGAAGTAACCAACTAGTAGCTAGGTAACAGAAGAAAGCAATATTTTTGGTATGGATAATCCTTTTTTTATGCATCACCCTTTTCATGTAGAAAATCCTGGGAAGCCTTATCATAAAATTTAATTAGGATTTTTGATGTTTTGGTAGATGCCGAATATTGATGATGAATTTTTATGCTTTTAAAAAATATGAATTTATAAGATGATGCTAAGCGAAATGAACCCCAAGACAGGGACACAAGAGGTTTTATCTTTCTTGCTGTTGTTTTCAGTATACTTATAATGTACTATGTGATTTTTTTTGTTTCTTTTGTATGTTCTTCTCCCATGATATAACCCGTTTTCACTATATTTGAATCCAGTGCCCTGCATCTTGTATATACATTTTTATAATTTAGAGAAGGGAAGGGAAACAACAAAAAGCTTAAATAAGGATTCAGGTTGACCCATTGTAACTATGAGATGTACAAGACACTATGTTGAAAACGAACTTTACAACTTTGAGTTGGGAGAGAGGAGTTGAGGCGGTGGGGAGGGAAGGGATGGTAGGGGAAAAAAAAGGGAGTGGGTAACAATGCTTGATACCTTACTCATGTAATTGTAACCCCTTTCTACAGTATCTTTACAATAAAATATATATTATTAAAAAATCCTAAATTGTCTTTCTTTTTTTTTGAAGTGAGATGGTACCATAGAGGTATCATTTATTGAAATAAGGAAATCTATAGGAAGAGAAGATATGGGAGAGTCACAAATTCATTATTATATTGGTTATTTTTAAGAGGCATGTGAGAAGTTAAAGTGTCAAATACATAGTTGGATATATAATAAGAACTCATAAAGTCTTTGGGTAAATGTGAGTTGTATCAATAAATTAGTTGCTTGCAGAAAAAAATGTGGAATGAGATGGAAAATTAGCTTTAGGGCATGTCCTGAGTTGCTAAAGTGTTTCAAGGACATGGAAAATAAGTAGTAGTCAAGGAAATCTAAGAAAAGACTCAAAGAGGTGAGTGAATGATCATCTGTGACATGCTGCAGAGGGATAAGTGACATAAGAATTGACATACTTCCAATAGTTAAATAGACATTATTAATGATTTTTTTTAATTTTTAGAAGAAAGTTACTAGTTAAATAGATGAGACTGAGTAGTTTACATGTTACTAGTTGATTTTAAAGTTATATAGAATGAAAATATTATTTTTCATGTATAATTATGAGAAGAGACAAATTCATGTTGTATAAGCACCACAACAAACAAGATGAATATTTATAATTTCCCTGAATTCACACAATTTGCATTGTGTATTTTTATTTGTCCATATCCCTCTAACTACTAAACTCTCCTTAATAGTTTTGCTTTTTTCAGAATGTGCTATAAACAGAATAGCAGTTTATGATCCCTTATGACACTATCTTCTTTCATTTGCAATAATGTATTTGAGATTCATTCATGTTAAAGTGTATGTCAACAGATCATTTTTATTGCTTAATAGTATCTGTACTCTCCAATCCAAGCTCTGGAAATCAATGTTTGAATTCTTTCCCTACAGTTTGCCTCTTCAGTGTGATATTAATAGAATTGTTCAATATTTAGTATTCGGTGTTTGACCTCATTGAGTTGCCAAAATGCTTTTCAAATTTCTTCATGTTGTCTAGAGTAAATTGATCTTTCATTTCATTGAAGACTAATAGTATATTTACCCAGTGCAGGACACATGAATTGTTTTCAGTATATGCCAAAATTTGAATAAAGCTACTATAAATTTTCATGTATAGGTTGTTTTGCATAAGTTTCTGCTTAGGTGAGTTATTTTTTCACTGTTTTCTACCCTTGTTATTGCATATGAGAACTCCCAAAATCATTCAATTTGATTTTTCCTTTTGATATTTTCCACATACTTTTCATTTATTTTCCCACTTTTTTTCCTTCTTGAGTGGCTTAAGAAACATTTACCTTTGGGCCAGTTTTATTTATCCTGTTTATTTATCCTTCTTACATTACATTGTAAATTTATGCCTTACCAAATTTGTTAAACTTTCAGCTATTTCTTATTTTTAATATTTTATTGTAAAGATGATGTACAGCAGGGTTATAGTTACATAAGTCAGGTAATGAACATTTTGAACATTGTCACTCACTTCCTTGTTCTCTCCCAGTGTTCCCCCTCCTGTCCCTTCTCCACCCACATTGTATAATTCATTTCCAACATAGTGTCTAGTGAATATTACTGCTGAATTGGTTCACACTTTGTCCCACTGTTTCTGTACTTCCTGAACTTCCCTTCCCTAAATCAGTTAGACTTATATACAAGACAAAGGGTACACAAATCAAATACAGAGACAAGAGGGATAAACCAAGGCGTTATGTCCAAAGACGAACTTTACAACTTTGGAGGGGGGGGGCAGGTGGGGGGTCAGGATATAGCAACAATGCTTGATAAGAAATGTACTCATTCTCTTGACCATGTAATTGTAACTCCTCTGAACAGTATTTTCATAAGAAATTTTTTTTAAAAAAAGGGTTTTTAAAGTTTTCATCATAGAGGTCCTTCACTTCTTTGTTTAAGTTAATTCCTAGGTATTTTATTTTTTGTGGGGCTATTACAAATGGAGTTGCTTTCCTAATTTCAGCCACACTTTTCTCATTGTTGGCATACAGAAAAGCCATTGATTTTTGAGGGTTGATTTTATACCCTGCTACTTTGCCAAAGTTTTGAATCAGCTTGAGTATCTTGGGAGTGGAGTCTATGGGATTCTTTAAATACAAGATCATGTCATCTGCAAAGAGGGAGAGTTTTACTTCTTTCCCTATTTGGATCCCCTTTATGTTTGCATCTTGTCTTATTGCTGTAGCTAGGCATTCTAATACTAGATTAAAGAGCAGTGGAGAGAGTGCACATCCTTGTCTTGTTCCTGAGTTAAGAGGAAATGGCTTTAGTTTTCCACCATTAAGTATAATGCTGGCTGTAGGTTTGTCATATACAGCCTTTATTGTATTGAGGAATGTTCCATGGATTCCTAATTTTTTCCAGAACCTTCATCACAAAGGGGTGTTGGATCTTAGCAAATGCTTTTTCTGCGTCTATTGAGATAACCATGTGGTTCTTATCCTTGCTCTTGTTGATGTGATGAATTATATTAATTGATTTGCGTATATTGAACCAGCTTTGCATCCCTGAAAAGACTCCACATAGATCTCCCCTATGACCCAGCAATCCCACTTTTGGGCATTTACCCAAATAATCACAAAGAAGACCACACTAAAGCTACCAGCACAACTATGTTTATTGCAGCATTATTTACTATAGCTAAGATATGGAACCAACCCAGATGCCCCTCAGTAGATGAATGGATCAAGAAAATGTAGTATATTTACACAATGGAATTCTATTCCTCAATCAGAAAGAATAACCTTGCCCCATTTGTTAGGAAATGGAAAGACTTGGAAAAAATTATATTAAATGAAGTAAGCCAGGCTCAAAGAAAGATAGGTCCCATGGTTTCCCTTATTTGCAACAACTAGTATATGTCTGAGTCAAGCAGAAAAGGTCAGATAAGTTGATGTTAGGGAAATGAACCCTAAGATATGTATTCAAATGCTTTTTTCTTTCATGTGATTGTTTCTAACATATTTATAAGACCATTTCTTTGTTGCTTTGTATGTCCGTCCCCCCACGGTATAACCCCTGCTTTCACTGTATTTGATGTTGGTATAATTTGTGGAGGGGAAGGGAAAAAACAAATCGTTAAAACAGGGATACAGGTGGACCCATTGCAACAATGAGATGTAAGACGTTATGTCGAAAAACGAACTTTACAACTTTGGTGGGGGGGTAGGGGGGAGGAGGATTCAGTGGGGGGGAGGATGGGAAGGGATGGGAAGGGGGAAACCAAGGAGGAGGCTACAATGCTTGATAAGAAATGTATTCATTATCTTGCCCATGTAATTGTAATCCCTCTGTACAGTATTTTCACACAAAAAAAGGGAAAGAATAAAGAACTGCAAACAGTACAATAAAAAAACCCCTCTTGTTTCCATATCTTGGAATTCATTTCGATAAGTATCATTTTATATGGTCATGTACACATAGCTATTGAGCCCTTGTGATTCCCTCCTAAGAATACCCTCCTTTGGTTTCACTGTGTAATGCTTAGAGTTCTGTTTAATTATTTCTTTTTTAAAAATAGCTTTATTAAAAGCAATTTTTAAAAATATTTCTCATGGTTAAATTTATTTTTCTATTTTTTTTACATTTTTTATTGTGAAAATACTGTACGGGGGGTTACAATTACATGGGCAAAATAATGAGTACATTTCTTGTATGTAAGTCTCATGCATTATAATTCACCCTTT